AATTGGATCTTCGTTAATATCAAAACGAGATGACCAGATATTTTCGACTAGTTCATCATACAATACGTAATTTATTCTTCTGAAAAGAAATAGATGATAGATATAGTGTAATACATAAATTTACCTATATGGATTTCTTGAATAGAAGACAGCAGGATTCGACCATGTTATCTGATGATAATGATGATCAAAGAACCATTGATGTTCTATCCAAAATGTTGAATTAAATTTATTGATAAGAGTTTCAAATGTTTGACGTTCATTGTTGGATTCCAGTCCACGATATGAAAATTGAAAATCAAAGATACGTAGATTTAACATATGAGTTGAAATTAATTGTTCCCATCGACCAGCATTTAAATATTGTGTACTATTACCGTAAAATCCAATATACTGTATTGCAATAGTTAAAACTTGAATTTGACGAAAATAATTTATTACTAAGTTTTCAAAATCATCAAAATTGGTATTATGTAATTTAAGAGAAACATTTGTTAGATAATTTAAGTTTATCGAACTTCTTTCAGTTCGGTTGAGTTTAGACTCCTTTAGATTACCAATTGATAAACGTCGTAGTTGTGGAACATAAGATAATAAAATGGGAAGTTGATCCATCGAAATCTCATGATTAATGATGAGATGTTCGATATTACTAAATTCATTTGTAGCAACAGGTAATGATTTTGAACATTGTAATAATTGAATTAATATCTGACAGTATTTCAGTCTAGGTAAACGAAATATTTTATTATAAATAATATTCTTGTGATTTTTAATAGTATCAATCGATATAATAGTCAATGAAGATAAAACAGGTAAAGAAGATAAATGATTTACAATTTGTTCAATAGAATTCGATTCAATATTATTTAAAATAAGTGTTGTAAGTTGAGTTAAATTTTTCATTATTGGTAGTAGAAATAAACATGAATCAATAAATGGATTCGATAATCTGAATGATTCAATTCGATAAGCATAGGGTTTAATAATATGTGTTAAATAATGCTGTAATTTAGATTTTGATATGGATGAAATATTGATTTTAATTGGAAGATTTGAATTAAGAAAAAGATCTTGAAATCGTTGATTAAGATCGTAAAAAGCTTGAAACGCATGATGATAATTGAGAAATTCAAATATTTCATAAATAAGTTCATTTGAAAGATTTTCAAGAGTAGTAATATTTTCTTTTGTTAAACTGAAAAAGAAGAGAGAGAGAGATTTGATAAAACAAAGAAATTGTTTTGTAATAGACAAACCAGTTTGTTTCATTTGCTGTTACTAAAAAATAAAAAATGTGTTCATTAAAAAAAAAAGATATCATTTATTACTGTCAATCTTTTTCCTTTTGTTATCATTATTATCATGAATAATATTATTTCGTCGTCTTTTGATTTGTTTCATGAAAAAATCAGACAGTTCATAAAATCTATAATGATGAATAGCTTATTGATGTATAAGTTTAAAAAAAGACTATGCACGTCTGCTTTGCGTAACAAGTCATTTTTTTCAACATGGACGTATAGAATACGCAAGAAAGAAAAAGATAAAGAAAAATAACTGTTTGAAATTATCACAGAATATGATATGAATCATTTTGCAAGAACGTTATCGAAATAAATCATGTTTTTTTTCCTTTCCTCAGTTTATATTCATTTAACACAAATTGATGGATTCATCTTTATTTATATTTTTATCAGATACAAAATTTGCTAATTCAACTCATATTATCCCGTCATTCACGCATGATCTTAGTTAATCCATGAATGACAACGATCGTTAGTAATCAATGCATAGACTATAATAGCCGATATCAATCAATAGAAGTTATTGTAAAAGTAAAGAAGTATCTTATTTCATGCTTCATCATTGCCTATAAAGTTTTGTTAATAACGGCAATAAGCGGAAGAAATACTAAAGACATGGATACATTAGAAGACCCTTCCCCCTCCATAATAGTTGATTTCTTAGTTCTTCCAGCATCTATTTATTCATTATTGTTACATCTGTATATATCTCTTGAGCGTCTCTTGAAAATATTTTTCTATGTTTTCTGGCGTACCAAGCGATCTATGTTCAAATAATTGCAAACGTAATTAACTCACATGTGCATACATGTTATCTCCAAATTATCCTCTTTTAACTCTCAATCTCACTCGCCTTCTCTATGATGTTTCTTTGAAGGTACATGAATTGAAAGTTAATAGACGACAAATTAGAAGTACCGTATAGATATACAGGGTGCCCCAAAAATAACCTACCAAAAGTTTTTTCGTATGTATTTCCTATTTTATATAACTTTATCAATAATTTTTAGATGAATATATCGAGTTTTTATTTATCTGAACGAACTTTCATATTACTGTGTAAAACTAACATCTTACGTAAAGATACAATAATTTTGCTTTCGTTCTAATGTTCGAGTAATTCAAAAGTTGACTAAAGTGTTTTCTTTGATATTTTCATATGGGTAGATAGAGTTCGTCGAGTTCTACAAAAATATGTAGATTGAAAGATTTTTAAAACTTTTCTTTTGAAACAAAATCTACGATAAATTTCAATAGTAAATTGAAATAGTTACAGAACAAAACGCTACATAATATTTTTCTAGAAATATAAAGAAAACAAAATTTTTGTATTTTTATCTAAGGTGATAGTTTTACACAATAATATGAAAGTTCGTTCGGATAAATAAAAACTCGGTATATTCATCTGAAAATTATTGATAAAGTTAAATAATTTAGCAAATATATACGAAAAATATTTTATAAGTTAATTTTGAGACATCCGATAACATGTTGCAAAAAGCAACCATTGTTATAAGTGACTTTGATAGATACGTGGAATATTCAAAAACTTTGAATTTCCTCTCCGATTTGATTATGTGAAATAAAAATATTTTTTGATGCATTTCTTTTGTCATGTGAAAAACACTTGCTATAATGAACTGTCAAATATGTTCTGCTATGTATGTATATAGTATATTTTATAAAAAAAAAAGATACTTTTGTCATGAAATGTTCTTTGTAGCTATAATAAAGACTTTTATTGTACTAGTCCTGAAAAAGCGAAAGAAATATTTAGGAACAACTAGTGTTCATAAAAAAAGATGTTTATGAAAATTATCCTTCAGAATAGCAAAAAACATCAATTGTCTAAGGGATATATTAGAAGATCTCGGAACTTCTAATGTATCAATGGTTTTACTCGTCTCATCTCATTATATCAATTTTTTTCAATTTATTTTTATTTAAGCTTACATGCATGAAATTTTCCTGATATGTACATTAGCAGCGTTATAGCTGACGAGGGTAGGTTCCCAAGTGATAAATCGCTTTTAAGTCGAAACTATGTACGCCTTGTACACCATAACGAGTTATGAATACTGTAAAATAGATTCGGGCTGATAGCTTGTTGCTGTTGAGATACCGCATTTCTACTGGTATTGCTTTAGGCCAAGGCTGTGGTCCCCCTCAGAAACATGAGAAAAAGTGACTTTCGAATTTCGACTTCAAATTTTCCTTATATATAGCCCTCCATGAGAATAGTGTACTGTTAAAATTTTCAGCTCTTTCCAACTCTTCTATTCTAAAGAAACAGAACATGAGAATCTACTGGTGTATGAGCGATCTCACAAGCGTGCTCTTATCATGGCTGTATCTTGGAACAGAGACAAGAAAAAGATACAAAAGTTTCATCATAAACTATTCTCATTGAGAGTTGTATCTGAGCAAAGTTTCAGGTCGAAATGTGAAATTCAATTTTATGGTGTCCCTGAGGGGACCACAGCCTCGGGCAAAAAATTACCTTAAAAACCCAATATCTTGGCCACAATAAGCTATCAGCCCGAATCTTTTTCACAATGTTCATAGCTCATTATGGCACACGTGATACACATAGCACTACTTAAAAGCAATTTATCACTCAAGGACCCTCCCTCATGAGTCAATATCTGAATGAAATATTTTAAAATACTCTTTTTCGCAGAATGGAAAGCCTTTATGCAACAAACCATAATACTATGAAATTGTTTATAATATGACAAGTCATAATGAAGCTTTACCTAAAACTCAATTAATGTTCTACATTTTCGTTTTGGTATACTGTGATCTTGGTTTAATATGTATGTTTTGTGTCATTTCAGTTTTCATTGAAGTCTTATTATATGCTACTTTCGGGCCAAAGGCAAGAGTCATCTCTTCCAGTACCCAGTCAGACAAGCAACGAAAAATAACGCGTAAAAATCGCACATTTTTGCGATTTTATTTTCGTTAAAGATTTTAACGCATTTTTTGCTTAAATACGTAACTTGCTAGCAGAATAACACCTATGATCCCTACCCTTACGTTCTTTATAAACCATTTTCATAGTTTTAAACAAGGTAAGTGTAGGGATTATAGCCCATGTCGTCAAAATCGCCTTACTTTTGGTGATTAATCGCGATATCGACAAAAATCGGCGATTAATCGCGATTTCAGAAAGAAAATCGGTAATTAATCGCGATTAATTGCCGATTTTTATATAGAGAAGAATAATCGTCTATGAATCGCGATTAATCGACGATTTTCATACAAAAAAAAATAATCGACGATTAATCGCGATAAATCAGCAGCTTTTGGAATATTGACGATTAATCGCGATTTTTCCCAAAAAGTAATTTAATAGTCCTCCACATTCAATATATAGTGTATGAGTTTTTTCGAAAAGAAAATTTTTTTTTGATTATTAGTGTGAAGTATTTATAGAATTTTCATATCAAAGTACTTGAGTTAACCATTGGACTGAATATTTACTGGTTGATTAATCTCAACCAATGATAAAACCAATAAATCATTGTTGCTCTTCTTCTCTTCTCTTATACAATATACCTTATCTTACCCTATTTAATAAAGTCATTGTAACGGTACGGGCTTTTATTTAAAACAACAGGTTTGCTTTCTTAACATTTATAATTAGTTGTTTTTTCAGATAGACAGTACTTATTTAACCATTATTTTTAAATGGCACAAGCTTATGAATTTTGCACTGAAAGAGTTTTACAACAACAAGTGCATAGAAAGAAAAGAAAATTACAATTTATAGAAGTTGTTGATAATGGATCAGATGTTGATACTGATTCAATTAGTGATTCAAGTGATGTGATTGGTTCAAAGGTATTAGTAGATACAACAACAACAGCAGCAGTCAATCAAGGACCTGATTTCAAAATTGATGATCGTTATTTTTCTGATGAAGATGATTCCAAAAATCTTTATTCTCCTGATGAAGATGATAATCTTCATATATATGAATATGATTCATTTTCGTCTGATGGTTCATTACCATTATATGAACGAACATCTATAACTATTAATAAAGCTGTTAAAAGCATACTGAATTTTTGCGTTGATTCAAATCTTGACAAACTTAAATTGATCTCTTTAATGCATTTAATTAAATCCTTATTGCCGGTACCGAATCATCTTCCAACAACATTTCATCAAATACTAAAAACACAAGGTAAAAAGCCATCATCTACAACTAAACTTTATTGTAACAAATGTTTGACCTTAACAACATTATAGACTGTATTTTTATTGCGTGATTAATAGAATGGACGTCAGTATTTATAATGAGATCATTAACACTTGTATAATATCATTTTTTTTCTTAATTTAAAAGAGCTAAAGTGGCGCACTTTTTATTTTATTAAATGACGAGAATATAAATGATTATAATGATTGGATACAATATATATGTAAAATGAAACAAAGACAGTATTGTTTTTTTGTTAGTCGATATTTTTTAGTTTATAACAAGAGAGATAGTTTAATTTTATGTTCTTAAATGTTGCTGTATTTTTCCCACATTAAAAAGAGGTATGAAAGAGCTGGTTCAGAAGTATATGAAGTTCTTTCCTATGCATGTAAATCAATATCAATGGTTTTTTTTTGAGTAGTTATGCTATATTTCACTATGATGTGAAAAAAAGGAATATTTATGACAAAAGAATTAACAGTTTTGGTGTTACTTGTATTTCGTGTTCGGAGTGTAAGTTACATTCTCAAATGTCGAAAGCAGCATGCGATGAGATTTTTAAGATCATCATGATAAAACACCCGTAGTGCGATATTCTGTCAAACACTCACAGATTCTTTTGGTGGTCTAGTGAAGTAGAGACAGGTTTTGGAGAACACTTAAATTAATGAAATAAGGTGGAAGTCTGAAAGTTAAGAAAAAGTGATGATACAATATGGAGATAGTCCTATAAAAGGTGGGCAACAATTCTGTACTAATTCCTATTGTTCATTAGCAAGTCAAAAATTATCGAAACGACAATTAACAGAAGTCGTTACAGTAAACATTAGAGAAAAACTACAATGTATTATCCGCCGAAATATTTCTTTTTTTACTGAATGTCAAGAATTATTTCCTGCATTTGATATATCGAGTGGTAATCGTTATCAAGTTATCACTGAAAAAGTTGTTCATCCAATCACCTTCAACATTCATGTTGATGGAGCGCCATTGGTGCGTTCCACAAAATCATCGTTATGGCCATGTTTTAGCTCAATAGTAGAGTTACCACCTCCAATTAGAGAATTTCAGACCAACATTCTTACTTTGGGTTTTTGGATATCTTGTGTTAAACCAGATGTAAATGTATTTTTGCAAGATATAATTGAACAATTAATTGATTTAAATCAAAATGGTACCTCGATATTTGTCAATGAAAATGAATTTAAAGTATTTGTTAAAACTCAATTCTTCATATCAGATTTGCCAGCGAAGTCATTATTTACAAAAACAATAAACTTTAATGGATATTATGCTTGCACCAATTGTACCACTGAAGGTAATACCATTTTTATTTGTATTTAGTGTTCTTTTTTCTATTAAGAGTGTCGATTCCAATTTCGGTAATGTAAATTAATTTTTTTT